TAAATCGAATGATTGGTTACATTTATGTTTATATTTTTCTTTTTTTTTTCTTATTTAATCGTATATAATTTTGAGAAAAAAAAAACAGTCATTCAAATTATTACAACATTTGACAAATCAATAGTTTAACACGTTTTAAATATTTACTGAATTAAACAAACCATTACATGGAGATGATGATTATTATTTAATTGTATACTATGTATGACTAGTAATAGTATGTTATTATTTGAAAGACTGAATTGTTGCATAGAAAAATTTCAGTAACTATTGAATAATTTTCTATTCGATAAAATAAATAGTCTTTTGAAGAGTGCACAATTTCAGTTATTACTGTATTCATTTTTACTGTCTTGCGATAGTATAATAAAGAAAAAAGTGACTAATCATTATTATGATTACTGTGTGTGATAGATAAAGTAACACACGGTTGTTTTCGTACAATATTTTGTCAATATATAATTATATGTAATTACGAATCTAACGTAAGAAAGCATGCATTCGAAAGTTTCTTTCTTAAAAATTCATATAAATTAAATTTGATCAAAAATGAATTGAGATTATATTATCATATATAGTCAATGATATGTATTTGCATTAAAGTAAAAGACCACAGTTCAATTCCTTTATTTATAAAATAAATTCATATGACTACAAAGTTTGATTATAACATTATTCATGATAAAATATCATGTATTAGTTCTTCTATAGTACATCTATTTCTAAACTGATACGAATGGACTTTGTCACTATCCTATAATTAAAATCTCTATGTGTCATTAATCAAATTGTTTATCTATTGTTTTAAACTGACTAACTCTGCATACTTTAAAATGATAAATAAAAAAAAAGTGAGGGTGGACTTTTTTTAGAGAAAAAACACTTGAATGACTGTTACCGATAAAACTAGATAATAATAAAAAATACACCTACACGTAGAAAGAAGAGAAATATTTTATATTTGACCTTGTTCTTTATTTCGCTGATATAATACAGTAATTTACACTTCTATACTTTTCTTTTAATATTGAATCCTTATTTTTATTCAAACCATCACTCTTGAATCATAGGCATATTCATATTGATAGTGCATCTTCTATTCATAAATATTTCAATTCATTTGAATTTTTTCTTTAAAGCCGAAACCTAAAATTAAGCTGAAAAGTATCTAGATTATGCATTTGTACTCAATCATGAGTCGATAATATATACAATTCAACAAAATGCTCCTCAAATAAAAGTTAATGTTATATTTTCAATCATTGAATATATATATATGAGTAATAATAATAATAAATATCATCTAGAATACATGTTGGTACTTGTTTTTTTTACAAAACTATATTACTGTTCATTCTAATCCGCATTAGACTATTAAAAATTATTGATGATATTGTTAGTTAGTGATTCAACATCCCACAAGATTCTCTGCTGCATTCATTCAGCATCAGAGTTTTACTTACGAGACACAAAACTTATATTTCAGGTTTATATGAACAATCTATGTATTACGAAACTATATATTTGAAACACCATCTTGAGAACGGTACAATTTTGATACTTATATTAAGTCAATTTAATAGCAGAATTATTTATAACGTCTTCAGAATCTTCAATTATCTGATAATGAGAAAGATTCTACTTATACTAAGCATACTAAAAGTGTTCAATGTATATAATTGATCATTGAACTACAATGAAATAATTTTGAATTTTATTACAATTTGTATGTTATAAAGGGTGGAAGAACAATTGATTTTATCTAATAAATTGCCTATTTATGTGATACTGACAAGTATTTTTTATTAATTGACTTTTTTTCATTTCAAGATGAAAGATATAATACATTCAACAAGAAGAACTTTGATCATGAAAGTTTAGTAAAACAGAGAACATTTTTTTGCGAGTTTGGTTTTGTTGTCTTTTCTGATAACGTTGCTAGTTGATTAAAAGGACTACTAAAGTATCTATGTAAACGTGGCCAGGTTTCTTTGGTTGTTGATTTATTTGACGGACAAGATAAGATTATAATATGATGAATAAGTATTTTGTCATCTTATCTTATTCTCGTTTTTTCTTTACAATCAAACAGCAGTTTATATAAATCAAGTCATTTTTACTTTTACATTACTTTACCATACAACTACATTAAAGCCAACAACTCTTCAACATTAACTATGGGTCAAGTATGTTAAACTATTTTTTTTTGTAGAAAATTCCATTTAATTTATTTATATTATTTTATAGCAAGCTGGTCATCATCAAAATTATGTAAGTTTATATTTTAATAAAATTCAATATAAAATAATTAATTTTTTTCGTTGTAGCCCGTTCCTTATGAAGCACAAATTTCACCACCAATTAGCTTTGGTACTCAAGTACATGTTGCTGGTACAGCACATGGCGATCAGTAAATAGATTATTTCTTACAATTATAGTTTTATTTTATTTTAAAATTTTCAAAGATTTGAAGTCAACTTGGCTAATCGTCGTGGTGATATCGTTTTACATGTTAATCCACGTTTAAGTGCTCATCAATTAATATTAAACTCTGCACCAGGTGGTGGTTGGGGTGCTGAAGAACGCGCACCATTGAATATTCAACGCGGTCAACCTTTTAATATCATAATTATGGTTACTCAACAAGGCTTCAAAGTAAAAATTAAATATGAAAAAAATATTTTTCTTTACCTTCTTATTTAAAGATCGCTGTTAATAATCAACATACAGCTGATTATAACCATCGAATGCCTTTTAATGCAGCTGATTTAGTTACTATTAAAGGTGATATACAATTATCAAATGTTCAAATCTATCCAGGCATGACTGGTCAACATGGTCAACCATGGCAATTTGCTATGGTTTGAATTTATTTTTCCGTTTTTGCATTATTACAATCTAAATTTTATTATTCTTATAGGAAACTCCAGTACCAATGAATGTTTTTCCTGGTAAGATTTAGAATTCATATATATAAATAAGATTTTTAATTCGTATAAATATTTAGGTCGTGTTATAACTATTACTGGTCAATCAGCACATA